GATAATCTTTTAACCACAAGCAATTGCTATCTGAAATTTAAACAAAATATAAAAATCAATATTTTCCGTTTTATTTGTGGATAATTTTGCCGTTGGTATTATTTATTGATTTTTCCTGAGACTTAAAATAATTTGGCCAAGTTCTTTACTCTTTTTTCCTTTACTTAGCTCTTAATCCTCTGCAGAACATATTCAAGCCCGTCCAAAAAGAGCCTTTTCAGCGCCGAATACCAAATATTCAATATCCTTTTTTACTGTGTTTTCCACTGATTATCTGGCGGTATTGATTTTGATTTATTAACACATTTGCCGAATTTTATAACCCGTGCAGCGGATATACTAGCGTCTACTTTGGAAAAAAAACGGAAAAAATTAATAAAATTTATCTCCCTTGTTTCATAAAGCTAAAATTCAATAATTTTCAATATTTCAAAGTGTATCCATTTCAAAAGCAAAACTGCAACCGCGCATTTGAACTATCGATATCATAAATTAAATAAAAAGTTTGGCGAACATTTGAAACTTGAAACAATCGTTAATTAAAGTGGGAATCTTTCAGATTTTGACAAATACCTTGAATCATTGTTATTAAACCCCCTATACGGGACCTATTAATAATTGTATGGTAGCTAGTAAAGAATTCCATTCTTGAATTAATCAAGAATTAATTACTTGATGAAGCATCTTTTACCGAAATTTGCTCTTTCGAAACTGTTTCATTGTTTTATATCAAACTTCAATGATGTACCCAAAATTGAAGTTCAACACTTTTGAATGCAAAAATATCCGAAACGAATTTTTAGCGGAAAAAATCTTCAGCTGTTTTCTCGCCCGTTGTCATAGCTAACTGATTTATTTATTGATACTTACAACATCGTGTTACCTACTAATTACCTGTCTGTCGTAATAGCAATTCATTGCATTACCAACTGATATATTACCTTAATTTTTACGTTTGAGAAAAACTTTTTTGCCAGTTTTTCTTCATGCCAGCAAGAAACTATAAAATCAATTTAAATCAGAGTTGGAACCGGGCCCGGCCCGCTTGGAAAACAAAAACTTCGGCCCGTTCTTGATGAAAACACGAAATTCCCGTGTAAAAACACGGTGTTAAAGGAAGTGTAAAAGGTGTGAACTCTTTTGAAAGTCAGGCCCGTTTCCAACACTTTGATTGACATAGTTGTCATTTTTGTTGTCATTTTGCTTTCAATGGTGGTTTTTGCTTTAGAGGCCGAATGAAGACTTCTAAGGAGCTTGTTCATCCCTGAAACGCACAAATGTACTGTTTCCAGGCCTTCCACGGTTTCTTTTGCGCTACGTGTCATAACTCTTCGTAACTTTAGCATGTAAAATCACTGAGACAGGAAAATAAAAATCTGTAGCGTGAGTTTCAGCAGGGGCAGGTTTAGGGGGGGGGGGACGCCCGCTCCCCTCAGGGATTCGACCCCCTGCAGACCCAAAGTGTCCCCCCTTTGTACCATTTTGTAATACCCATTTTTGATGACCGACCCTAAAAATTTTCTTGGGGCACTTTTGGCGCCAATATACACTAATTTTGAGGGGGCGGGAGCGCGCGCCGAAAAAAAAGCGATTTTTTGGTCAAATTTTTCCAAAAAGTGCCTAAAAACGCCTTTTTGGCCTATTTTAAAAAAAAAAATTGCCTGCGGCGCAGAAGTTTTGACCAAAACAGGGACTTTTTAGTGCTCTGGGAGAGCTCGAAAAATCAATTTGGTCGACCTAAAAAAAAGGTCGACAAAATTTCCGAACCTTTTTTGAAAATCCGCCCCCCCCCCTCGAGAAAGCCTTCGATCCACCCCTAGCTTTCAGTGATGTTCTTGAATTGAAACTAATACCATTTTTTGTCAAAAGCTGATGTATGAATTTTTACCAGTTGTGTTTTTTTTGGGCTATCGATGTTTTGAGGAGAGTGGAGAGTGGCTTCATCAATATGTTATTTATCTTGGTTATCTTCCTTAGTTTTGAATAGTTACTATTTCAAGTTCGGAGATTTTTGGTCACTTTTTGAGGATTTCACCGTGATTAAACTATAATTTTAACCTGAGTATGACCATAATTTTAGGCTGCAGAATTTTTATTTCAAAAAAATCGTAGTTTGTGTTTTCAGACGTTTTTGGGACAAGAATTTTTTTGTTTCTTGGATCAAGTTGAAGTTTTTTGGATCAAGTTCAAGTGCGATTTTAACATTCTTGAAGTAATGAGTGCCTCAAATGCAATCAAAACATTGTTTTTCGCTTCAAAAATTGAAACGATTCCGTCGGAAAATTTCTTGATATATAGCTGAAAATTAGTCTAGTTTGCAGACGTTTTTACGACATACATTTCGGTCATCAGACCCCTGTCTGAAATAAAATGAGAGTTGTTGTCTTGATAAAATATATAGATTGAAAAAATGTTTCGAGCATTCAGAGCTTATAGCTTCGAAATACGTACCACATTTAATTTCTGTTTTGCAGACTAATATTGAGACTGAAACCGGATTTGTACTTAGATTGACCTTCAATGTTTTATTTATTACAACTAGGGATGTATTTTCAAAACATATTGTCGAGTCGAACTTTGTCTAGCTTGACCAAATTGATCAAAATACTTTATTACCTTAGCATGTGTCAGAGGAAAAATCTAAAAATCAAACGCTTGGTTTTTGCGTAGAGTTTCGAAGGTTTCGACCATGAAAGCTTGTTATTTCGGGACGCGTCCTTCTCAAAACTTTTATAAATTGGCGTTTAAGTTATCTAAAATTTCAGGGTCTGATGACCGAAATGTATGTCGTAAAAAAGGGTGCCGCCACAACTTACAACAAAAACAACTCGTAACAAAAGATAACTCGCAAATTTTAAGGAAAAACGACAACTGGCAAAACTAATAATAAATTTATTACGGAGTTTTTTTTATTAAGGTCGCCGGTGGGCTCACGCGCATAAATGCTACTGAGCAATAACTAGCTCTAAAATTTGTATTAGGTTTTTTCCTTTGATGGCGAGCTCGCAACATGTTGGCGCACCTGCGGTAGTGAGTTGTTGAGATTTGTCTTTTATTGCGAGCTGTCTTTTGTTGCGAGTTGTTGCATCACGGTAAGGTAAAATGATACCAAACGGGTGACCCTTTAGAGGATGAAGTGGTCGCATCCGCATAAAACCCAACCTTAAATCTACCACTGATGCACATCTAGTAAAGATGATATAGTGTTTAATTTTCTTTTTGTTTCGACCATTGAAAATGGCGAAGAGCTTTGCGTTCGGGTGCGTTTTAAGCAGGGGTAAATTTTTGGAAAAATAATTGGTAAATCAGGGGCCACAATGAACATTAAAAAAGGTCCAGTGGTTGCAATATTCAATCCTTTTTAGTCGTGAATCAAGCGACCGTATTAAATTTTCAAAAATATCTCAGTGTCGAGAAAAGCCGACTAACAGTTTTTGAATTTTTTTGTCAAATTTTGAGCAAGTAGAGCAATCACATAATGTTCGGCATATGAAAAACGATCGTTTAGACTTAGAAAATTTGATATTACGAAAAATAAAACTATGTTTGCAAGCTTCATTTCGAGCTTCTTTGGCATAAAAAAACTAAAAACGCACAAGAATTATTGAGCATAACTTATTTTGATATTTGATTTTTATTTGTTTGTTATTCATTGATTAAAGAAAACTAATGTCAATTATGCGTATATCACCATATTGTTGAGCATTAGTATTGTGTTGCCCTCACACCAGGCTCAAAGAAAAGACACTAAATTGAGGGGAAAATTTTTTTAATGAACGTGGTCGGAACATTCTGTGGATCAATTGAGCAATCTCCCCCCCATTCTCGCGTGGGGGGGAGATAGCTCAATAGGTACTTGAGACATGTTTATAACCACTTGAAAATGGGGGGGGGGGAGATTGCTCAATTGATCCCATTCTGTGCTAATTGCACAGCAAACGACTATGCTTGTTTTAAATTAATTTCATTTCCTAAACCTACAAAAACTGCAGCAGTTTTTTCTGAATTTTATTTTCAAAGTTCGATTTTCATGGGCTCTGATATAATTTTTTTTATTTACGTTAATTTTCTTTGTGTATTATTTGATGTGATTGGATCATTTTGTTCTACTTGCATACGAATCAACTATTTTTTATTTTTTTTTCTTGCCAAAGGTCAGATGGGTCAAGAAATCATCTTGAAACACTTTAATTCGTTATTCGGTTTCCAAACAACTACAAAACTTAATCGTATCGAGAGAACTGATCTACCGCTTCAACAAATTTGTTCAGGAAGCTTTTTGCGTTCATCGTTGAACAAATGCATGCACGAAGTTGCACTGTTAATTGAGAATTTTTCAGTTTGCAATTTGATTGATTGTTGAAACACTAAAACTGCTACACTACCGATGATGGTTTTCATTCTATTATAGTTCCCTAAAAACTAATTTAGAATCACTTCAATTTTTTTTTATTCGTTGATGTTATTCTTGAACTGTTTTCCAACTAACAATTTTTTCTTTTTTTTTCAATACCATCAAATAATTTTAGTTGAAAACATTAGTAAAAATCAGACTAATCCAAATTTTTCAAATCAATCTAACTGTACAAACAGATGAGTAAAAAAAAAAACATAATTGGTCGACGGCTTTTCTGCCTAAGTTTTTTTTACTAATCCATTCTTAGCATAGGTTATGATATTTATTGTAAAGTAAATTCAACCATACTATATGCTCAGAAAATTTTGATTCAAAAACAGAAAGTTGTAGAAACATATTTACGAAGTTGTGGTAAAATAAAGTTCCGAGGATAGATTTTGACGCAATTTGATTTCGACAAGTGTTCGGAAATCATTTTTCGACCAGTTTGGGGAAGCTTTCAGCCTTGTTTTAATCGCTCAACTGGGCAGAATCAGGGCAGAAGGTAGATGTAGAGCATATCAGCTGATCTACCCTTTTCACTCAAGTTTTTTGTAAATAATTTATAATCTTGAATACACTAACTCCTTTTCATTTTCTTCTATTTGCGCAATTCGACTTTTTGAACTTGAACGCGAGGAAGATGCATGATTGGATTTGACACTCCAGTTCCGCTCAAATCTGTTTTTTATTGTCTTCTGTCCCCTCTTAGTACCAAAATGCATTCTTTCATCATTCAAACCCATTCATTGAAATCAAGACCCGCAATATACTTTCATTCGGGTTTATTAAATTAGTTCCTTTACTGGTCTGATTTCAGCTCTGTATCATTATTTAGCTGATTGCAATATCGTTAGCCGGCGAAACATGTCTACTTTATTTATTCAGAAATATATCATCTAAAAGGTTTTTAATTCAAAAAGTTGATATTTCTTACACTTTTTAGTTATTTTGCAGACTGCGGAAAAAAAATTGCTCCTTTTTCTATTGCGTATTTAACTAGTGTGTTCTCTGATATAATTCTGTTTATATTTTTACAAGGTGCAACTTTGCGGACGACCTTTTTGAGAAAAATTGAGGTTTTATTGACTCCATAATGACGACTTAGAGATGTCTTAAACACATCTAGATTAAGACACTTATAAACTTTGGATTATAAAGTTTATAAAAGTTGGAATATAATCTTATATAAAGTTGGAACCCTGAGACAATTATAGTTTGAATGTCAGCAGCTAATCATAAAGGTGCCATTTTGTATTTCCGCAGTCTTTGCGTCTTTAGATAACATTATTTTCAGTCGCAAAGCTTGTTTGTGGTACAGTACAGATTAGTTGTCTTGTCTTCTTCACTTTGTTAAGACCAGTGAAACATTTGAAAATGAACCGACATAACAATACTCTTTGGTTCGTTTGATCAAAATCCATGCTCAGACAGGATTAAATACACTTTTATCTAATCTAAGAACCCTAATTTTGAACAATTGGTTCCTTACATTAAGTTAAATAGTTATTGTGAATACGAAACCAAAAAAGGATAGCCGGTTGCTGTGCAACTAGCACAGAATGTTCCGACCACATTCGTAAATAACTACGAAAAAAACTTTGTTTTTAATCTTCAAATTAGCGTCGTTTCTTCTGCGTGGTGTGATTATGGAACTATATAAACGCGTAGAAAGTTAGTAAATTAGGCATAAAATGCTACAATTGTCTTCAAAAAATATATCAACGAAAAAAATGAAGAAAAAAAATCCAAAAAATTTCCTAAATTTCCTAATTTTTTGTCGAAAAGTTTTAGATTTGGATGAAAATTATTATGGCCAAAAAACGCTTAATGCAGAGAAGTTTTTTTTAGCCTAAATGTCCAATATTTATATTTAGCGAACGTTATACGATCGCTTTACTCGCTCGATACTTGGGGAAAAATTCTGAAAAATCTTTTCAGAATACAAATCCCGGCTGAAAGAAGTTTAAAAACCCTGCCCTACTTTATAGCTGATTACCATGCTTCAATAGTAGTTGGAACAAAAACCATCCAGTATATTGAAACAATCATCAATCTAAAAAGGGTAACAAAAAAAATAAAGAAACCAATTATATACTCATTGATACCGTGTTCTATTATTTCGGTAGATCAATTTTTCAGTTCAATTTTTTTAGACAAAACTGCTCAATCGATATACAATCGTTATAAAAATTTAAAAGAACAACAGCTGTTGATGAGCAAATAGGACAAAAATTAGCGCAGCAAAAAAAACACCCGAACACCGAGGCTATTCCCACTTCGTGCTTGGAAAAAACTGGAATCTATTTAAACAATTGATACATTGTTTAAAAAGATTATTTAAAGATGTGTAAATAGATATTTCGCCACCAACATTTCGTTAATTTTCAATATTATAAACAGTAAAAGTTTTTCATTTGTTTATTTTTACTCCAAAACTTCTTTTCCAAAGTTCGAAGAAAAAGAGGAGTCTTACACTCTGGTCGTTTGATTCGTCAGATAGGTTTTGATGACGGCCAAGATAAACTGGCAATATCGATGACCGCAAGCTTCAAAATATTATTTGTTTAGGTACATTTTTAAGAAGTACTGAAGGTCTAACAAATTTCCTAGGTGGACTTATCTTACACGTACTTATTTCTAGTTTGTATGCATAACACGCACGCAGCACTTTAATCTGCTCCCAAAATCGATTCAGTCGGAGAAAAAGACTTCTGTTTACGCTTTCATCAGAAGATGCAAATCGCATCAATATATAAGAACCTCAACTTTGAAAGCAAAGCTAGATTTCCGAAAAAAGCATGTTTGGTAACTGCTTTTGCAAAAAAATCCTTGAAAGGCCGATTTAATTATTCGGGACTTCGGTTTGATTACTTGATTTAATTACACGAGCATATTCAGTTTTCATCCAATTTTGCAACCGGTTAACACGCTAATTTTCAGTCAATAGAACTATTTTTTAATAATTTTTTTGGCGATATTAACTGTTTCATCGGTACAGCCAGTTAAATTTGATGGATAGAAAAAACGAAAAAGAGCGAATGAGCAGGTCTGTGAATTTAAGCACTCGGAAGCTAGAATTAAAACTTGAAAATTTCATCATTTTCTTCAATTAAATTTTTATCAAAATAGCTAGGCGAGACTCGCTTATTTGGACAAAAACAGCCAAAAATCTAACTACTTCAACTTTTTCCTATCAAAATTTATTTTAAAAAAAACTGGCTCAAAACTTTTCAAAAGACACTTTTAACCATTTGATTGTTGAACTAATTTTTGTGGTTTTAATCATTCAGGACTCGAGGAATGGTTTTTTAAACCTTTTCGACATTTTTTCCAAAGAACAGAGCAATTCAGAACTTCTTAAATGTTGCGAAGTCTGAGAAAGCTCATAATTGGGTCTGACCTGATTAACAAAAGGTGAAATGAATTTGAGCTTTCCAATTTCATACCAATTTTCGAGTGTGTTTACATCTATCATTGTTTCGTTGTAAATTCCGTTTTTTAATGTACCTCAAGCCGCAATTTTGAAAATTGGTTTACTTTTGTGTTGTCCGCCGACAAATGAAAGAGGAGATATTTACCTGCATGTGGCAATAAAAACAAAACAAAAAAAAACGTTTTTTTTTTCTGCCCGACAATGGAAATTTTTATCATCATATCAACATAATACAAATTTATCGGCGCAAATAATTGATGAAATTTCATTTCAAAAACATCATTTATATGTCTGTACGCTTCCAAGTAACTGATGGTTCTTTACAGAATAAATCAATAATTCAGCAGTCGTGGAAATAACTCCCCCCTTTTGATCAGTAGATTCTGTTTTCACAGACCAAACAGAACAAGAAGTAAACAAAACGAGAAGAAAAAAACCAATATCAATTAACTCAACATTCCTTGATATTTTTACTATTTTTAGTGCTAAGTGAAAACTATAAAAATCATTGCCGCTCTTTAAGCAATTCCCATTTGTTTCTTTTTGCAGATTTTTTTTTCACTTATTGCATTTTTTCAAGGGTAGCAAATATGTCTCTACTAAGAGTCTGTTGATATTTTCAGATGTATTTCTAAATTGACTATGCATTAAAACTGTGTTCAGTCATCATCTTCATGAGCATCTCTTCACCATGGCTGATACTAATTCAGAGACCAAAGAACCACTCATGGCACTATATCCATACCTACATTAGCACCACTATGGATTGTGTCCATTAACTACTCGGGTAATCTACCGCTTCTTTCTTTGTTTGCTTATTTATCTCTCCAATTATGAAGATATCAACGCTTATTGCCTTCTTCGTCCAACTCATCGAGATATTCCTACAAGGTATGCATTGTTTTAAAAAAATTCATTTAGACTAGGATTAATTAAATAAATTAATTGAAAAACAACATTTAGAAAAATTTTAACTTGTTGCAAAAAAATTTGATTGAAATAGAACAACATACCCAACATATACTTCGAAAAGAGTCAATGACCACAATTAAACAGAAAAAGACTTATTTTTTTAAAAATGTCAACTTTTGAACTTCAAAAGAATAGATGCCCTCGAAGCTCTTTAATTTTCTAGAACAATTTATGATTGGCAATTTTTCGATAAAATTATCACAATTTAGGAAAAATGGATCAAAGATCAATTATCTACTTCACAATAAAATCTGAAAAAAAATCTGAAAATTTCTGTTTTATTCACTTTTCGAAACTAGAAGTCGATCATATTTTTCGTGACGTTTTAACTTTCGCAATGAAAGTCAGAAGTCCTGCTTTGACGTTTCAAAACAAGATAACTATGCGCGAAACTTAAAAAGTAAAAACTCGAAAAGCTAATTTTATAAATTAGAAAAAGACTACCGGTTGATGCACTAGTAGCATATCACACTTTTTAACTGGGGGTGATTATCAAAATCAGAAAAATCGCAAATTAAGATAAAACTTTAGCTACATATTTTGATAACTTTTGCAACTTGAGGAAATCGCAGAAAAATTAGAGTTCTGTTTTTTTTGCGTTGAGTTTTTTTGTGGAAAAGTGGGAAACTAAAACCAGTTTTTAACGGATTTCAAAAAAATATTTGGCAATTTTTTTTCGATCCAGATCACAACTAAGAAAAGCTTTAATATGATGCCACACTCGATCTCTCACAAGACGCCTGATGAACCAAAAATTGGGCGTAAATAAACGCCCTTCTCCATATACTTCAGAGGACAAGGTGAAGCTGCAATTCCAGAACAATTAAATTAAAAAAATGGTTTAAGTAGCTCTTAAAGCAAAAAAGTACAGAAAAAATCCCAAACTTCGAAATGATCAGCACAAGAAACCATAAATTCTCTCTAGTCGGAAACATTAAGCTTCCTTCAATCAATTTTCAAAAATTAGTTGTGCGCTTCAAATTTTGGAATAATTCGCTGAGATCAGAGAAACCGTGCTTACGTTCAGGTTGTACTGACGTAGATAATTATCTCTAGGGAATTGATTTATCAATGTTATGGAAGTTTTAGCAAAAATTCTTTTTTTTGTAGATAAGTATTTCAGTTATAAAATAACGTTGTTTAACTGATGAATTAGCGCCAGGAATTACATTTTACTTTTTTGTCCGCGATGTTCCGACAACGAATTAGGTCTGCAAGCTAACACTTTTGTAAATACACACAGACACACACACAAAAAAATGAAATATGAAAATAATGTCAATGTTAACTTTTCCCTACCGCGGGAGCCCTTAATTGTGAAAATCTTAATGTTAGCTCTTTTTAAATTTATGATTTACAATTAACAATTCACTTGGATTGATTGTTGTTTCAGTATAGAACTCTGACGGAGATTTTTCTTGGAAAACAATTTTTGGATAAAATTTTACAATTAAAAGAAAATCTATTTTAATTAATTAAAACCAAAACTATATAAAAATCTGTTGGTTGATCGCTAGTTTAGTGGTATAACAGTGGTAAATCAGCATTCAGCTTTTTTTTAGTGTAACTTCATCGCTGACTTAGCGGCGATTCGTTGCTTTTTTTTAGTGGTCTTACAGCAATAAATCAGTACACGTGAGCGTTTAACTGGCACTGATCAGAGCTTGATTTATCAATGCGTTTTTATGCATTTATGTAGGAGATAAGCAGCAGCTAAATATTGCATCAACAAATTTAGTGGAAAAATCGAGACACGCACTGCCGAGATGTGTACAAATTTCGAGAAGCAATTTAAACTGTTGCTTATCTGGTATGCGACACATGAGAATAAATTTAACAAAACACAAATTTGAAAAAAAAATTCACGTTAACACGCGATTTCTTTTCTTTTTAATTTGTTTTGACTGATTGTTCTAGGAAGTATATTGCACTAGTGTATCAAATAGTATACTAGTGGTTCAAATAGTGCATTAGTTTTTTCAAATATTGCATTAGTGTTTCAAATATTGCATTGGTTTTTCAAATATTGCACTAGTGTTTCAAATATTGCATTAGTTTTTCAAACACGGCACGGAAACAAACTGAACACATTTGTTTATTACCTAAATGAGCGCTGAATTCGGCTAAGAGTACAGCCTGGACACACTGAGCATCATGGATTAGACAAATGAGAGTTAAAACAAGTAAATTGAACTGTTCGAACTTAAGTGAATTCCGTTTCTCAGAAAGACAAATTGCAGACCGTGTATAGCGCCGTTTCAAAGCCCATCAAAATCGGTTAATGTCTTAGCAGCTGTCATCTTATTTGCTGGACACCGTAACAAACCTATGCGAAATATACTGGCGTTGTGGCGCATCAGTAGTGACGGTGCCCAGCGAGGCGAGCTCTTGTAGGATAGCCATCCTTAAATAATTAATCTTCGGGTTAGGCCTCTGACTGGTTAACTGTAATAAAAGAAACAAGACTGCTCGTATCACGGCGAAGCCCTGAATGCTCCGACTGCCTTTTAAAGTTTATGGAGCAGTAATAACCTATAAAAAAATTAAAGATAATTAAATAAAATGAAAAACTTTTTTTTCTGAAATTCTAATTTTTTTAATGAAAATCATCCCCCCACACCCCATATTAAGTACAAAAGGATAATGTTCGCTCCTTGTAACAGATCAATTATGGCAAATAAGCTTCTTTTAACCAATTTGGAACAATTTCTAAGACGGATTAAATCTCCGCTTACGCGTTAATAACGGCAATTTTTAAACCCTTATAACTTTACGAAAAATGATCACAGATGAAATATCTTTTCAAAGTTAAGCTCAAAACAACAATACCTTTTGAATGATATAAAAAAATTCCGTCAAAAATGGCTAGGTAAAAAGTCGAAATTTGTCTGAAAAAAAAACCCACCCCGAGCACAAATATTCCGTTACTTTCGTATCGAAAGTCGGAACAATAATATCACAGATCATAATCATTTTACATAATCATAAACATAATAGTTTCAAAAGAGTATAAAAATGTCCCTCAAAAACTATTCTTTTGATAGCTTATTAAAAAAACATTGCACTAAAACAGCAAAAAATATTGCAAAAAGTGTACTGGACGTATAACACTAATCATTCAACATTGTTTCCTCATTTAAAGCTTTTCGAATTCAGCCTCCCATTTTTTTGTTGTTTTAGCCACTGCCCTTCGGCTCAATTCACCCGCCGACTTCGCATCCCGAGGAGCGTTCTCCTATGACTCACCAAGTGATGGAGTAGGGGGGACGAACAACGCCTACTACAGCTCCTATGAGCAATACAGTGGTCCCAAATACAGTGAGTACAGTCACGCTAGTATATAGAATTTTCTCGTGGAGCAGGATTTTTTCGTCGGGGGATTTTCGAAAAAGACTTTTTGGACTTTTACAAAAGCTACTGGTCAGGAATTTATTGACAAAATTGCTTCTACCAAATGATGTCTTCACTCTTTTTGGTTGCTCACACAGTTGTAAATGAGATCCCACATGGCTGAAAGATCCACATGGCGGGTTTAAACATTCAAAATTAAAAAAAAAATTAGAAAAAAAATTTAATTGAGGCATTTGGTCTATTTAATGCTTTGCTATTAGCGAAAATTATCATTTTGTACGACACAGTGTGGGCTGATGATTTTCAAAAACAACTCACAAAAAAATTCATAATTTTTTTCTTTTTTTTTGAAAATCTCATCAATTTTTGTTAAAGCGAACACTACTCCATAGAGCTTTAGAGCTTCAAAGTCAGTCAGGACATTGACAGTTTCGCCCTAATACGAGCAGTCTTGTTCTTTCTTTGCATTGTAACATCAGGAATTTAGCCATTATAATACGAAAACAACTACAAAAACAGAAAACTTGAAATGCTGTGGACGAGGAAAGAAAAGTAGCCCAAATATGGGTGACACTTCACTCTTTTATATGTAATTATGTACTTCTAGGATTCAAGTGTTACGTGTGTGAAGAGAAGGATCCGAACAGTGACTGTGTAAGAGGCAACATGTTCCCAGAGGCATACCCGGCCATAGATTGCGACGGATACTGCTACGTAAGCAATCCTAACAATATTTTACCTGGACCACTGGAAGATTCAGGGGGGTGATATACACTTGGTCTTGAAGTCGAGTTTTCAGCCAATCAGAATCGAGCATTTAAATTAAGTGCTAAGCGATTTTGATCCTTGAACGATGGTGTGCACGATCCTATCTTGATCTTTTTACCAAGATTTGGAAAAAATGCGTTAAAATAAGCATTTTATGCATGTCAAACATTTTAAGTGGTTTACACTGGATTTTTTTTGTGAAACAGACAAGTTCAAAGCTCACACTATGTTATTAAAGCTCGTTCAGACAATTCCGTCACGGGCATTTCAGCAATTTTTTAGAAAACGGTAATTCAGCCAATTTGAGTGAGACAATTCAGCCAAATGGTTTTGAGTAAAATTAAACGTTTTAAAAGAGGCGCGAAAACTTTTCACATGCGGCAAAACATGTTTAGATGGCTTATAAATAATTCATTTCAAACCCGAGTGAACCAGAAATGCTTATCATACAATTTTCATATATGGAAAACTGCTAGTCATACACTTTTCATGGAATTCAAAAAATACAAAAAACTAGCGCATGACTCGCACCTACGGTACTTCAAGTAGATTGTTGAACGTGAAAAGGATTTCCTGAATTATTTACAACAAAACGACATTTAATACAACCGTTAAATTGAATTGGGCCCATCCATATGGGTTTTTCACTTCATTAATTGAACCTTTTAAAAAACAATCTTTGATGTTATTTTTCATCTAAATGGTTATGTCTCCAAAACTACTGAGTTTTATCAGTTTTGTGACACTTTAAAATCAGAAAAAGACCCTTCAAAGCCGACATCGTACTCTTGCTCCTTTCATATATTTTTTAAAAGTGTAACCTGAAGGGACCCCAACATAGGGTTGAGAGTTTCAAGTTATGTTACTTTTTTCAATCTTTAAGTTTTTTGGAAAAAAATGAAAAAACTATGAAAAACGGCATATCTCGAAAACCAAAAAAAAATGAGCACTCTTATTTGGTGAGCAAAAAAGCAACATCAAAAAGTACCCAGGGAGAATTCTCCCGTAGGGTTGAGAGATTCAAGTTCTCTTAATTTTTTTAATCAAGTTTATTAGAAAAATGAATAAATCCTACAAACGCCATATCTAGAAAACCGGAAAAAAATGAGAGGTATTAATTTAGAGGCTAGATTTACAACTCGTAAAGTTTTCCAGATAGCACCCCAGCATACGGTTGAGGTTTTCAAGGTTTAAGTGTTTTTTTTTAAAGTTTTTTGAAAAAATTAATAAGAGACCCCAATTATCGCGAAAACCAAAAATATTTGAGCAGTTGTATTTAGAAGGCAGAATTGCAACCCCTAGTGTACACTGTGTGCACACCACGATACGGCGGAGAGCTTCAAGTTCAGTTAATTTGTAGAAATTCTATTTTTATTGAAACAATTGATAATAACATATAAAATCTTGCGAACCAAAAGGATTTGAGCAGTCATTTATGAAAGGCAAAATGGCAAGTCCATAGTGTACCCTGAGAGCATCCCACTTCAGGTTTCAAGTTTTTTAGTGTTTCTCAAATCTTCAAAAAATTTTCAATGAGAAAATACAAAAACGCCACATCTGGACAACCAAAGAGATTTGAGCAGTTATATTCAGCGGGCATAAAAGCAACCCCATAGTGTACTCTGAGAGCACCCCATCATAAGGTTGAGAATTTCAATTTTTTCAAATAAATATTGAAACTAAAAGCTTTAAAAATTGCATTGCTAAGTAACAAAAAACTGTACAATGAAAGCTTTCACTCTTCATCAGATGTCAGTTAAAATAATAGATGACCTTAGAAAATCAAAACGCTGAACTCGATAAAACATATTGAATGTTCCAAAATATTGGCATTTTTAAATATGTCAACATAGGGACTAGTCAAACATGTGTCAAGTGAAACGCCAATTAAATAATGTGTAAATTGAAAATGTCGAAAAAAAATTATCTATCAAAATGAACAAAAAAGCACCAAAACAATAGAAGGTAAAATTAGCATTGAACAAAATATTACCGAGCCGAAAACACCTCAGCAGATACCTTTCAAGCCAAAAACTTCAAAAAAATTTTAACACGGACACACACAAAAACTTTCACCGCTCATCAAATGAATCAAATGAGGCCACTAATACGATATAAAACAGGCAGAAACTTACCAAAACGAAAAACAAGGAAAAAAAAACAAAAAAGAAACGAAAAAAATAAAGACCAAAAAAGTAAATAAGTCCTTCTCAGCCTCGAAACGCACACAGGCAACACAAAAAATAAATATATTCGCTTGTCAAACGACGAAAAATGAGGCCACTAAGCCGATTTAATAAAGGTCTAAAACGAACAAACCGAAAAAAGTAAAAAAAAAAACATGAAAATTTATTAAAGCAGGTAGTTAAAATTAAGACCAATATTAAAAAAATTTTGAACTGGACAGATATTTAAAATGCCAACAAGCACATCATTTATAGGTTGCTAAAAGAGGCTTCCAGGAAATGAGTCCCAATGAAAAGAGGCCTGTGAACAAAAATGTTTACGGGGAAAGAATCTGGTAACCGATAGCAATAGCTTTGCTTATCGCAAGGAACATGACTAGTTTTTTTCATAAACGAAACCAATGCAACAATAATATTTTCTGAAAGACAACTTCGGAAAATTTTTGAGCTGTGTTCGTAACCAAACTCAAGCGATCGATTAAAACTCTGGTTGATTACAGCTAGATTCGCCAAAAAGTGACCGGTCGTCTATGTGCAATGCATTAGAAACGACTTGAATAATGATTTCTTACACACAGTGTAACGAAAGTAGCAAACTCATAAATATTGTGGCAAAAAAATTCAGATAAGCTAGTTTTTTTTGAATATGAAAATTTGATGAATCATGTATAGAACGAGGCATACAAAAATATTCAAGAAAAATCAGAAACAAGCTTTTTGAGTGTCAAAAAAAACTATCTAGAGAAAACGAAAAACAATCCAAAATTTGTCATGCATACAAAAAATTATATTTACACGCAAAAAAGTTTTTGGGAAAACTTATCTTGGAGTACACAGTTCTTTTCGCGCTGAAAAAAAAAACAGAAAAAATGGTTGCGACAGATTTCGAGAAGAATTGATAAAAAAATTTGGGTTCCCCCATCAAAAAATGTTGGCCATACAATTTTCATTTGGAGAAACTGTATCACTAGCATTTTTTCGCCAGAAACATTTCTCTGACGGAACACTCGCAAGAAAATTGTTTGACTGGCGGTTTAGCAGCATAAACTTAGTCAGTTCACGGAATTCTATGACTACCATTTCCAACCTATGGAGGTCAACCCGGTACTGCACATGAAATAATCCATGAAACAAGGAGGCAATAGGACCATAACCCTATAGAATCGTTTACAATCTAACATGTTTTCAAAATTAGAATAGTATGAAAAAAATCATTATACATCAAGCTAATCAAAATACATAAAAGTAGACGGACTATGATGTTTTTCGCCTAAAGGTCAAAAACTGATTTAATTGGCATTCCCCTTCATGATGTAACCTTCGCTTTCGAAAAACTCCGAAACAAAGACCCTTCAGTGGAATTTCAAAGTGTAACGGACTACTTTTAAGACACCTATATTGCCACCTGTCGTAGAAACAGACGCATCAAACTGAATTAAACATTGTTGATTGGAACATTTGTAATCGGGTGGTAAGCGGAGAATCTCGCATAAATAATGCCTGGAATGACAGCTTCAATATATTTTTTTTAAAAGCAAAGCCCTATTTTCCAATCGCTAACTAGAATCTCTTGCAAAATGCAAACAACTACAATCGAGACTAATTACAGAAGTATTTGAAATTTTTTACTTCTACTTTAAACATATCAAAACACGTTATGCATAAAGATGAAACTTTATTCATAGTTTTGATCTTTGAAATTTGTCACTTATTGTTTAATAAATCTTTCACAAAGTCTTTTAAAGCTGACACTAATAAAAAAAAAATTTCTGTTGATCTGGTTCTCTAATCTAATTTGGCCGATCTGTCTTTAGCTGAGTTGTCAGAGTTTTTTTGGTTGAATTGTCAGTATTTGAAAATGTCTGATATTTTTGTACGTACTTGAAGTGTCTCTGAGCCTATAAAAGATCTCAATAATTTTTATTTGATTTTTCTGCACCTTCCGATTGGAAAAGGTGTACTTGCTGGTAAAACTGCAAGGTTTCAATCCTTCAAGAGGCTATACTCTCTTGCGTCTCGAGCAAGGATCCGATTTATATTTATATTTTTAAAAACATGACTACGCTTTTAAATTCGTTTTTCAGATTTTTATCATAATTCATGTCATTTGATTTCGCGAAAATAATTTTTCGAGTAGATCTAATTGGACATTTTATTGAGAAAATTGGGCAAAGTACTACAAGAGAAACAACAATTGATGAGTTTGAATAAGTTCTAGGAAAGTTTAAAAATTTTGGTCAAAAATTTCAACTTCATCTCTTTATACGCATCAAAGCAACTTTTTTTGCCACTTTTGTAATTTCAAACAACGGATTTGATGAAATACTTACGGTTTTTATTGAATTTTCATGAAATTTTTCTAGCTTTAATTTGAAAAATAGGTCGCTGGCGGTGAGATGGCTACTGCAAAATAGTAAATCAGGATAGCATGTGAGGAGACTGTGCTTACTATTAATTAAAATGAAGTGTGTTGACACAACAATAGATGTTAATCTTAATTTTAGACTGTTTTTAAGTCGACCATTTATGATGTACCAGTGTTAATTATCCGGACAGTAACAACAAGCTTAGAAACTTTAAAACGCTTTTTTCAAGTTGGGTTAACAGTAAACAAAATGCGATGAGAGCAAAAATTCTTTGTTTTTCACCAGAATTAATATGCAGAGTCGAATCCGAGCTTCGTATCTTTTTTGATACAAAATTGAATAACAATGATTACGCGTAAATGATCTATCGACAACCACAAGTTACAAAAAAAGCTTAGAAAATCCTGAAAAACTCGGAACTCAATTACAAGTACTTCGAGAATTTATACAAAGAGCAATTGGAGGGTTAAAGAGCCAAACTTCCAAAAAAAGTCTGGTATAAGTTAACCAAGCCGACAAAAATAAGCTGACGGACGATAGTCTAAAATATTGAAAAATTTCAATTTGCAAAAAAAATGGGTCCGGACAAGAATCAAACACTAAGCCTATGTGTCTCAAGCAAGTTTGATTTTTTTTCACTCTGCTATAGGCACAGATTGATTATTGAAAAAAAATTATTTATATCGTACTCCACGAAAATGGCTAGAAAGCAAACAAACCAAAAAAATGAAAAAAAAATTATGAAAACTTTTTTTAAAAAATGGCGCAAATGGTTCCTACAAAAAACAAAATGGAATGAAAACAGTATGTCGCTCAGAAATTAGCAAAGAGGATTTTGAACCATGACACAATTGGAAAGAAAAGGTTTTTTCCATCTTCAGATTAAAGTTTTTTAAAAAGATCCTCTTGTGGGTTTGATTTCGAGCGTTCGCAAAATTTTTGGGTCATCAATTTCAAAAAAAAACAACGGACAACTTTTGGAAACAAAAAACTCAGTAAAAAAACCGACAGAATTAAAGCTGATTTCCAATAAGCTGAAAATCCAATGCAAAATTTCGGAAAATACCTGATAAAAAATTGCATCAACCTCAAAGTCTTTACTCCGAATTCGTAACGATCGCTAATCAAAAGCGTAAAAATGACTTTTTCATGGTTCATGTCTTGTTTTAGCAGATCAAGAGCTAGGCAAAAATTACCTGGTCAATTGATAAGCAAATTATATTAAAGTAAGCTTCTTATTTATACCAATGAAATTTGAAAATGACATAATCTCCAAAAATTTTTGAACTTGAAAGTCATTGAGTTTTAGAACCCAAAAAATGTCGTTTTTGCGACATAAAAGACCAATTTTGGATTCCAAAACAAATTCAAACATTATGCGCAAAACTTTGGATACTATGCCCTTCTTTAACTTTATTGGTCTGCATAAGAAAATCTAATTGATATAATTGGCTCCACTTTTGATAAAGTAATTTTGTAGTAATTCTTGATTGAATCAAAAAAAGATGAAACTTCGGGTCAGAAATTCACAAATTTTTTGGTTTTGTTAGGGTAAAATTCTAAATAACTATTGTTCTCATCACTTTTTATTCCAATTTCAATCCAATGAGAAAAACTTGTTAAAAATTTCCAAGCGCGTTGTTTTTGTGCGGATAGTTTAAGCGAGCACTGTATTATATATTGAGTTTGTATTATATTGAAGCCAAATTTCACTTTTTAGTTTTTTTTTGGACTGCCAATAAGACAGTCCTCAACTATACATTTACTGAAATACTGACAAAAAGTGGCTTTGAAATAATTGAAATACTTCAACCAATCAGAATCGATTAAAGCCAGAACAAGTTTATATTCGTTGAAGGAAATATGCGGAAACCAAAATCAGAATTCTAGTGGCTGTAGGGGAGCTTCGCGTTATTTTAAAAAAGAGGAAGGGCCTGGCAGCACGCAAAATGTACCTGCCCGATCGCACAACCTGCGTTTTTGTAACCGGCTAATACTGATTCATTTAATCTTTTTGAGATTGTCTCGATTTCTCTGAAACTTTTAAATACTCAATTCTGATTGCCAAGTTTTCGTTCAGTAACATTCAGGAAGCTATACACGTAAAATGGTCTGAACAGCAGCAAAAAAATTCGAATTTCAGGACAACCGTCAGTGGTCCAACTGATCACTGCTAGGTGCTACGCTCTATAATAGCCCCGTTACGCGCCAAGGCAAAGCTGTTCGGTTTCTAAGTCGAGTCCAATCTGAGACTAAACATATGCAGCAAAATGTTGAACTAGGAATCAAAGCATGTGTAGCCCTCTTTCGCAAAAAAAAGATGTTTTCGTTAGACTATGTTTGCAAACAGGGGGTCTTTTTACCTAAGCGGTCGAAACCTTTAAATCTTGAAAAATGATAACAGAAATGATCATGAATTGGACTCTTGTCTTTATATATTAGGTGGGGATGCGTGAAAAGTTAGGGCCGTTTAAAGTTCCCACAAAATGGGAAACGACTATGGCACTGGGAGTTTTTTCGCTCAATTTTATGTACCTCAGAGATAGCTCGCAGGAGGTCAAGTATTGTATCATATAAAAGACCGAGTCGTGACTCAGAATTTTAGAAAAAATGTATCTGATTTGAGAAAAATTGGCCAGAAATTTCCGTTTTTCAGATTAAAAGCCACAAAATTTGGATATGGCATGCTAAAAGAATGAACTCTCAATTCAATTATTCTGTAAATAGTTAATTTACATTAACAGTAGCTAAGTTAGATATTTTCAACCTCATTTTCGCATTTTCTTACCAACACAATGCTGTTTACTGGAAAAATCTACGAAACGGCAAATTTAAGAAACCGAAAATGCAAATTTAAGAAACGGCAAACTTGAGAAAAACAAAGTTTCAGAAAATGAGAAACAAATTTTCATTTGGGATTTTTTTTCTTGTTTTTGGAATTCTTTTCTTCGATGATTTATCCTCTGATAACTTTTTTGGATTTTTAATCATTGTAATCGGTCGGATCATAGTCCTAATTGCGGAACATGGTCCTATCCTTGTTTTACTTAGTGTCTTAATGTTGTTTTATTTGGTGTAGGTATTGAGCTACACTTTGCGTGGGATTGACTCTCGGACCACACAGAGGTCATGTGTCCCAAAAGACGTGAGTATAGTTGCTTTGCCACACTAAGGAATGAATGAAACAAAACAAAAAATTTAGTTGTTTTTTGCTAAAGGAGGTTACATAATTTAATTGGAAGAATCGATTTCTTCGACCTTAGCACCAGAAAAACTCAAGCAAACTTTTCTTTTTAACAATAAAAAAAGTCTAATCTACATTTTCAAAGCGACAAAGAAGCTACAAAAATCGGAAACGGTTTTGAGAAACATTTAACTGTCAAAAGGATATTTGCATGTACAAAAAATTGAACGTTAAACATTTTGATGCAAACTACAATCTGATGAAATTCCTCAAGAAAACTCAATTACATAATGAAAGCAAAGTTTTTTTTAAAGAATTATGAATATTTTATTCGTCTTTTTGTCTTAATGCGTCACAGCCAAGACATACATACTTCCAGTTTAGATCTCGAACAAAAAGTTGTAATCATTTCTTAGTTCGAAGAGTATCTCATTTACGTTCGTGTACTATATCATTTGCTAATTGTCTATTCAAAATCTTTTAATATGGAGCCACGAAATTTCGGATAAACGCATTTCAGCCGATTTCAATCTGATTTTTTAGCCAAAAAATTTTTTGGTCAAAAAGATAAGAGGAAAATAACAAAGTTTTAATTTAAATCATCAAATTTAACAGAGTTACAAAGAATAAAGAGATAGAAAAGATTTTAAAGAGCTTGCATTTTAAGATAAGTGAACATTGGTTGTACAATTTCTCAAGTACTTGTGAACTTCATTTAGTTAGTATTGGAGGGCAATTTTTTTTAAAGTTTTTGATTGGCATTCACATACTTTTTCTCGCTTTCCTAATTTCTTCTCCGGCCATCAGTCTTTCGACGTTAATTGCTGCGTTTTTTTGTTCATCTTTGAAACGCAGATTAATTTCGGCAAATATGGATGTTTCGCTGCAATTTTTTTTGAAATTGACATTTCATCCTTCCACAGCATGGTTAGTCTGATATTCGTCTCGGAGTACCCCTTTACAAACATTCCAATCGACCACTGCAAATTTTGGCTCTACTCTCCGAGAGTCTTGCTCTAGACCAATGCATGATCTCGAAATATCGCAAATTTGCTGAAACGGCCCCGACTAACCTTCTTTTCGCAGCTGTTTAAACCTGACTACGTCTTCTTCCAGAACAAAAGCGAGGCAAATTAATTTGGGGGTGAAACACACATTGAGGCGAAACTGATCTTCATCTAAATCTTTCCTTTGTGTCCCATTTTTTGAGCATTGCGCCATACCGCTTGCTCAAAATAAAAAAGCAAAACTGAACTTCAGTTGAAGGTTGCACCGTTTGAATGGCTACATCGTTTGCTACATTAAATCATTTTCTGTATCGTTTGCTCATTAGATTCATTTTCATTATGATTTTACTATGGATATTTTGTGTGCCTTCAGACATGTGTGAGCAAGACCTATAATGAAATGTGCCAGGGAAGCATGGCGGATTGCACCTTCAACTGCTGTGCCTCCGAGTACTGCAACTCAGCCCCCCACCCTCATTCAACCCCCCTCCCGATGAAACTGACTCTTCTCATTCTGTGTTCAATAGCTGTGCAGAAAATATTTTTGTAGTGGTCTATTACAAACAATCTATCTCGATGTTTTTTATCTCTAATCCCAATTTACCAATACCTATTTTTATACTATCATTCAACAGAGGCATGCACCTTTTGTGTTAATAAGCTTAAGCTTGAAGGCACGGCAATTAATGGCAAAAGAAAACTCGTTAAACTTAAGGAAACTAGACGGAAAATCTAATTAAACTTTCTGTTTTCCTTTAATGTACATAATAAAAAACGGCGGTCGAATATAAAAAACTGAAAAAAACGACCTTCAGATAAGAAGTATAGTCAGTTACTTAGCAAGTAGCAAAGAATATTAAGTCCACGGCAATTATCTAAAATAAGCTTAAAAATAACAAAAAAGTGTATCGCTGATATGTTAAAAATTTGTTTTGCAGTTTACTTGGGCAGCAGCATTACCTTGAAATACGGACGCAAATTGTTTTTAAAAGTTTCAATTTGGTAAAATCTCTTCTATAAAAACAAAAAAGGGTGTGTTTTGAATTATTTTGGAATCCAAATAACGACTGTAAGGGCTTTAATATGGTACATTTGACGCCTATGAGTTTTCCTTGAGGCACCTGAAACCGCACAGAAAAACGGAGCAAAACAAAATATATTTTAAAAATGACCACCATATATAATTCGAATCAAAACTTGTCAAAATCTAATTAACGTTCGAAAAATAAATTAAAACAAAAAATGCGAAAAAAGTTCTCAGATTAAATTGCTTTAAAACCAAATGTAAACACGATTTTACTTTTAAACAAATAACTTTTAGTGAAACTACCGAAAAACTCTTTTTGACATTTTGAGCGACTAAGACGCTCTTCTTGATACCGTTTATTCTAACCATTACCGAGTAGTTATCCCATAGCATAAATTTTGGCAAATCAAGTGGCAAATTTCAAGAAATTTCAATTGTTCAGTTTTGTTAATTTTTTTTTACAAATCATTCCAAAATAGGACTTAAACATGTATCAAGGTCAACGCGGTTCAAATACGTTTGAAAGATAGATCGATAGATAGATTGAATGAAAATTTTTAGACATTTATGTCGTTTTCTACGCAGCAATTTGAAAAAGGACCGAATTTCAGTCATTCAATTTATTAACCCGGGTTGACCTCCGTAGACCAAAAATGCTAATCATACAATTCCATAAATTAAGTCCCTGAAAAAATACGAATCATTCAAATTTCATACATTTTGCTTAACTCGTTTCATCAATTTTCAAAGAACTTTTCTCTTGTTTTGGCATAAATTTTGGTGTACCGTACTAAATAAAAAAGAAAAATTTTTTGTCAAAAAATGCTTATCATACAATTTGCATACATGGAAATTGTATGACTAGCATTTTTTTGATGGCGAAAACAAAAATTTTTCAAAGTATTTTTGAAAATGCCCCCAAAAATTTTTTGTTTTTTTTCCAACCGCAAAATGATATTCGTACTCAAACAAACTTTTTTGCAAAATTTAATTTTTTGTTTGTATAACGTAGTCCTGGATATACTAATCATGGATTTTTTCCTTTTCTCTTGATAACATTTTTTAAAAATGCTCAAGATTCTTCTTTTTTTGTATGGCATGTTTTTGTATGCCTTGATCAATGTCTGGTAATTTGAAGTTTGCCAAAACTTAAAACTTTGATACTTTTGTTATATTATTTGCGTAAGACAGAATTAGGACACTGCAGGCTGTTTGCAAAGCATTTTTAATGCGAGACGGCCAAACCTTTGGTTACTACGTTTGAGTAAGTAAGGTTTATGTCATTTGTGTTCGGTTACGAACACAACCAAACCAAAAAAAATTTGAGAACTAAAAAATGTAGAAAAATCAATTTTTTGGGGGGTTTATGGAAAAATGCTAGTCATACAGTTTCCATATATGAAAAAATACGGCTCTTTTTCCTTTCCCCCCACCTCACACAAACATGAATTTTATAGTCTAACGAGTGGTTTTACAAGGTTAATTAAGAAAACCAAATATGTTTGTTATGGCCTAATCAGTCTGCATGTCAATTTTCATGACAATCGGACAAAGTGAACAGTAATTTCAAATTGAAAAATTTGCAGGTGGGGGGAAAAAGATAAAGAGCCAAAAATACTAATCATAGACCTTTCATGCAATTTTCTGTACGTATGGAATTGTATGGAAAGTGTATGACTAGCATTTTCCATATATGGAAATTGTTTATAAAGGATGCAGTTGGATGACATCTTCGAAAAAACGCATTCCACATACAACTTCACATCACATACATCATGAAGTAGCCGATAGACGAACGCGGACGAAGTCAAATTGTCCAAGAAAATGTAGCGAAAACTATTTCAATCAAAATTTTGATCAGAATTTAAATGTTTCGATATCAATTAGTTGGTCGCACGTGATAGTTATTTCAGTTCGTTGCTTTTAGTTATTTCAGTCAAAATGTCAAATCTCGTTAACTAAAAGGATTTTGAGGTCAGATTTGTAACACTGAAAAAACACCGACAACACCCAAAGTTAGAAGGTTGCTTTTCTAAAATTTTAAAACTCGTCAAAATAGGGAATTCCCAAGCATGATGAAGTCAAACGCCAGTTGAGTAATTCATAGACAAGATAGATAGATTAGATATGAATATATTGGAAAAAACAAAAACCACACGACAGAAACAAAGTTTTCGCTTACACTAAAGATTTATTTTTTTGCTCAAACGCTGCTCATGACAAAGCCATCTAAACTTCGATTTCTAGCAGGAACAATCAGATTTTTGAGTTGTTTTGGCCAAAACACCTGGTTTTTTTGATGTTAAATGATCGTCAACGAAGAAAAATAAACAAGTATTTGCCTATATTTTGATGTTAGGCTCCGTAATATTCTCATTTCCTAAAGACAAGGTTAGGTATAATTCATTTTCCACGGTCCGTGCCTTTTTAGTAAAAATGGGTTGCAAGCCGTCGGCGCTAAAACTAAATGCTCGGAACAATTTTATTCCAAAAATGTATGTAGGCTTATGTTGGGCCGATTCATCACTAGATAAATTTTAATAAAGGTCTATCGACATCTTTCAACTGATCTTTCAAAAATATCCTTTGATATCTCTTTAAATGGGCATAAAAATTTAACTCAGAGACTAAAAACTACCATCAGAGACTACGCTTGCTAGCTCGATTGGGCAAGAAAACCCGAACATTGCCAGACAATACACTCTATTGATGGTGCTCATCGTGAGTCATCGTTAAATATAACTCAAAAAGTGCAATTTTCAAAATCGAGATACGGTTGAATATAACCACAATGCTAGAACTTTTTGACTGTTTCGCTAGAATTCTGTAAATTACACAACTATTGACAAAGAAATACACCTTGAGATGTTCATATCCTCCATTCAGCACAAACTGAATCCAAATTGCCACCTGGTAGTAGCAATACGTCGCTTTGCTTGAAATATTTGTAGAAAAAATAGCCAACAGAAGCTTGCAAAAGTGTAGAACAAGCTGGATCAATAAAATCTCTTGTTCTCGCGTCAGTGCCGCACGACTTTGAAAGCTAGCTAAATACTCAGGTAGAGATGCTTAAAAATTGACAATACTAAGCAGCAAAATTAATAAAAACAAGGATAGCTGGTTACTGTGCAAGTAGCACAGAATGTTCCGACCATAGTCTTTTTAAAAAATTACAAAAAGTTTTTTTTCAAATTAGTTGGTTTTTTCTGGGTGGTGTGATCTGACGTGAAACTAAAACAAAAGGATCTGACGTAAAACTATAAATTAGGCTTAATTGACAGTCATAATAATATATGCAAATTTGACAAAACTTGGTAGAAAAATAACTAGAAAAACGAAAAGTAAAAAAAAATTAAACACTTTCAACTTTTTTCAAATTTATAAAAAGTAATATTTAAGCGTGAAAAAAATGTTTTGAGCAAAAACAAAACAAAAATCAACATGACCTATGAAGGTTTCTTCACTGCGTTCATAGATTTTTTTTAATATTTCACATTACCTTTTTTCTGGTGTATGATTTTCAACTAAAACTAAGATACAAGTAATGATAACGCTTTTAAATAATAAAAAAAAGTAAATTTTTACGTTATACTATGTAAAATTAAAACCGTTGAAAATAGATAATTTCATCAAGTTTTTAGTCTATCAGAGCAACTAAGTCTACTTCATCGTGATAATGTAACATTGAATTATCTTCTTCCCACTGGTTTTACGTCACTAGCATCTCCCCAATTTTTTCTCCATTGATTCAAAATCAGTCAGGAATCGAAGGCCACTCGCATTGATTTCTAAGCTAGGTAATCAGATTTACTGTCTCACAATTTTCAGACGGCTTCATGTAAAGTATAAAGTAATGAAGCAACCTATTTTATTGGACGAACCCGCCGCATCCAATTCTGTTTGATACCTTCGAGAAAGTTTTGAAAAATTGAAGGCTATGAAACTGAAGGAAGTCAGAACATTGATAGCTTCAAAAAATAGGCTATTTCTGCAGACATTTAAATGTTATATCACATTTGATCAACAAAATTAGTTTGGCTGAGAACGTACCACCTGCTTTAGGCAATTCAACAGTATCGAGATGTATTCGAAGAAATCAGTATAATCTGCTGTCGAAAAATTATACGATTTTTCACTGGGCCGAAAGTTATTTCAGATAGTTGCTGTTAACAAAATTGGTTTTGGTCAAGTTTTCAGTCTATTAGAGCAAATATTTTTAAATTCAAGTGACAATGGGTACTTTCTATTCGCTTTATTCGTCAATTAGGATCTTCGCAGTGGTCTTTTCGTCACTCACTTTTCTTTCCTTGACTTCAACTCTGTCCAGGTCTAAACTCCAGTCACACTTGTACTTTTCTGCATATTGCATCAAACTAAACACCATGTTTCCATTGCACAAGTAGTGAATCGAATTCGAAAAAAGATCAGATTGAGGCACAAATTCTTTCTCACTTTCCTTCAGTAAAGAATTTTCGTGGTCCTTCATAATCAAACTAAATACTTTCAAGAATCATATCAAACTACATTTGTAAGATATCAGCATATCAGCTACCAAAATAAAACTTGCAAGCA